ACCACAAACTAGCTCACTTACCCTAGTTCTCATGGCCAGATATGCTTTCCTTGATATATGTATGAAATGAGTTCACGATTTAATAAAAACGGCTTTACATTTCTTCGTATCCACAGGACACTGCCCATTCCGCGTTTATATAAAATCGAAACCCGACAAATATGGGATCAAAATATGGGTATGTTATTCAATTCAAGGATATATACTAAACTTGCAAGTATATACGGCAAGGTGAATAATATGCCCGAAAAAAATCAAGCTATGCGGGTGGTCACTGATCTCATCTATCCATATTTGAATGAATGGAGGGGAGGTAACAGCAGATAATTTATTCTCATCCATAGACCTCGTTAACTACCTGTGGAATAACAGCACTTACTATACAGGAATAGTCAGATCTAACAAACCCTTCATTCCACCAGAATTTCTCATTTCAAAAGGACGAGAGTCTAACTCAATCATTCAAGGATTCAGTACATTTATGACATTGACGTCATATTTTGAACGCAAGAGAAAGAAGCCCATCGTCTTGATTACTTCAAAAAGCATCCAAGAAACAGATCCTCGAATTGAAAAACCGGATGTTGTGAAATATTACAATCATACCAAGGGTGGTGTCGCTCAAAGAACGAGAAATTCAACCGTTGCATTGCATTTTCATAGAGCTGTACCCAAATTGGGAAAATTCAAATCCCAGCCGACATTCCGAATTTTTGCGAATTCTTTCAGAAGAACTGGCGATAGAACAAATGGAGAACCGATTGGAAGCTGGTCACCTACTTTCGAAATACACAAATTGCACAACATGTGGATCGACAGCAATGATAAAATGCGTATTGTGTTCCAATTTTTTTTTTTTGCAATTTTCACAAAAATGATACTGCATTGTATGTATGCAAAATATGCGATGAAACTCCAAATTTGACTGTTAAAAGGATTCCCAAATCAGATCATCGTCAACTTTGTTAGATATGTACAAAACGCAAGTATAAACCAATGAGGACAAAATCAATGTGCTGCTTTTGTCTGTCCTCTGTTTGTCAAAACTGCTCAGTTGAAAAAACCTTTTCAGTGTGCATTTCTTGCATGAACAAGTGAATCCTGTACGTAATTTTTAATTTTATGAATAAAATGATAAATTCCATAAACTGTCCAAGAAACAATAGACCTTCAAATTTCAAAGTATCTCCAATTGAAACGGTTTTGAGTATCTTAGGCAGTTTATATAATTGCATCTTAAGTCTCTTTATAAATTTTAAACCATATATTTTAAATATTAGAAACAAAAATTGATAGACGACGGATTTGCCTGCATCCAGTTCGGATAAACTCAAAAACTCAAATCTCAAGCATAAGTTAATTCACCTATGAGTTTTGCCTTGCAATCACCAATGAGGTTCAAAAATTAAATGCTTTATATTTTGGAGCTATTCATAGTTAGTACTGTTATCTTTTTTTACATTTCATACAATTGGTAATTTGTATCTACAGTACCTGATGATCGTCCTCGTGCCACCGTGGGTCTCTAAACAGTGCTGTTATTCTCTCTGGGAGGCTCCTTAATGAATGATATATGAGGATGATGTTCCAAACACTGACCATAATGTTGAACATATAGTTTTTGTTATTGTTGTGTTAGTGCCATTGGTCATATTTCGTCGAGTAGATGTGATTTGATATGTCGCTTGATATGGGTGTGTGAGATATAAAATTCGATCATACGGAACCATAATTCGGATTATCTGGAACCGGTTCCACGGTGGCCTTATGGCTCTATAGTTGTTGTTTTGAGTGCCATTGCTCGTATTTCGTCGAGTAGATGTGATTTGATATGTCGCTTGGTATGGTTATTAGCGATATCAAATTTGACCATACAGAACCATAGTCCGGAATATCCGGAACCAGTTTTACGGTTGCCATATGGCTTTTTTGACGTCGTTTTGAGTAACGGCACTCAAAACGACGTCAAAAAAGCCATATGGCAACCGTAAAACTGGTTCCGGACATTCCAGACTATGGTTAATGGACCAACGGCGGTCATATTTCATCGAGTAGATGTGATTTGATATGTCGCTTGATATAATTATGATAGATTTCAAATTTGACCATGTGGAACCATAATCCGGAATATCTGGACCGGTTTTACGGTGGCCATATGGCTCTGTGGACGTCGTTTCGAGTGCCATTGGTCATATTTCGTTGAGTAGATGTGATTTAATATGTTGCTTGATATTGTTATGACAGACAATAAATTTGACCATTTGGAACCATAATCCGGAACGTGAATGTTCTCTATCATTTCCAGGAGTTCCGCAATGATCTGTAAGATATGTGATAAAGATTGAAAAAAATACCCCCGTGCCAACACATTCTTGAATATATAGAAAAGAGGGAGGGTCATGGGGGGAGTACCACCCACCTTACATTTGGTGCCACCACCACACCACAACCACTCACCGGAATGATGTTTAAAAAAAAGTCATTTTAATCTGCCATGGCAACTCTGAGATACAAATTTTTGAAAATAAAAAGTTTGTCCCGAGCTTTTACGGGTTAAATGATTGCATTCTATGAAAAAACACTAATTTACATGATCTTGAAGTTGAAGTACATTAACCGCATAGTAACACCCTTATAGTTCGTCAATTGTTGTTGTCTTAGCACCCGTATTCTGCTATTTCATTTTTAATTTATAAATGAGTGTTGATTTATAAAAATTATAAAACTGACGCTTGAAAACATGAAGAATCCTGGTAATTCCAACTCGTCCAACAACGACGAAAGCGCACTTTATTCTATCGCCATTTTTGAATTACGAATACGACAAGAAATTCAAGATAGAGCTGGAATTAGGGCGAGCTTTTGTAAACAATGACTTCTTTCGATGATGTCTTGAAAGTCAAGACTTGCCCAAAAGCTGTTACGTCCGTATTCCAGCTCTATTTAGTTCACACCATGAAATCACAAAAAGCTTACTTGAATTTCACTTAACCTTCACCAGCATGAAATGTGGACTGGTCCAGTGAATCCAGTGGAATTCATTACCATGTCATTGCATTTTATGTGCGGCACGTGAACCTTATTGAATTCCTGTTTTGAAGAGGTTACCTGAATTTTCAGGTAAAAATTACCTTTCCCGTTGGTTCAATGTAAAAAAATGGTCTAGGAAAATTTTCAAGCTCTCGACATTTGTTCAAAAGCCAGAAATTTGAATAATCTTCAACCCCCGGTAGCTTTAGTATTTGTCCAAACATCGAGAAAAATAAATCAAGTCACAGGTTCTTGAGTAACTCAAGGAACTGTTCCTTTTTAAGTCCATTTGTATTTTTTTTTCCATACTAATATTCCGGTAATACAAAAACAATATTGCAGTTCCAGGTCTTAGAACAAAAAAAATTAAGAACTCTAAAATGTATTCCAAAATCTCTATTTTTTTACGATCGAGATTTTAAGTCCTAGACGCATTCCATTTTGTTTTATGTCCGTGGTCATTCCATCTGGGCAATAATAATCAATAATAATGAGATTTTTTTCTTAAACTCGATCTAGAAAAGTTGTCTAGATCCCAGAGTTTTGATTCTTTTTATAAGTTTGGGGTGTTACAGAAGATTCTATTCTTGGGATGAATGGAGCAAAGTAAAAAGACGGCCAGTTCGTTATATCGACTACAAAGAAGAGAAGGATCTTTTTATTAATGTACTCATGGCTAACTTTGATCTATATGCATTTAATTCTAGACTGCAGTTCTCCATGTTGTTAAATGACATTTTTTCTCTGTGCCTCAATTTCGCGTTCGAATAACAAATTCGTGATCTGTAGAGTGAGAAAATAGAGGTTAGAATTGGACCGTGGACACTTTATAATTGTTTAAATGTCACTATTTGGTCACTTTTTTCGTAAGTTTTAGTCACTAAAGTCACTACTATAACATCACACACCCACTACCAGCCCTGCCTGCTGCATCTGTTTTGATTCACTAGTCGCAAAGCGCCCTTTGGCAATTTGCATTGAATTTATCTATAAATTTTGCCTCGCTGAATCTAAATTTCTAAAACCAATATTCGCTTTAATTTGGCACAGATACCTCAATACAAATACAAAGAGCAGTAGGGAGTAGGAGGTTCCTTGTGTTCCTTACCTTTAATTAAAAAGTGATTGTTAAATAAAGTTGTAACTGAGCAAATTTCCTACCAGTGCAACTATGAAGCTTTAGACCATAGGCTAGAAGGACACGAACAAAATGATTGATTTTGTGCCAAATCATTTTTCAGCCAAATGAGTTCAAATTTTGGAAGGGCCTATTTGGAACCGTCGTTTGAGACTAATCAATTGCCGATAAAAATGCCCTTTATTCAGACTTCAGAGTCATGTTATTGGTATTTGTTTGGCGTTATTATTCGTATGCTTGTCTCTAGGATTGAAAATAGGATAAAACCGGAAATTGTCATATTGAACTTCAATAGAACCTAAACAATCCATTACCGGATATCTACTGTTCAAATCTCATCCCACAATACCAATCTCATGAAGCATCGGATGCATCAATCGTTTTTGTTGTTGTTGTTCTTTTCCCAGTAATCGAATAACATACAAAATGGATCCGCTCATATAGAGCTATTACCAATATCATTGCATAATTTCCTGCATAATATCAATCACAAATATAATGCTTTCATGCCATTTACAAAACTGACCTGGAATTCTCTATTATATTGTCATGAATATCATTCTGTGGCATATTCATAGAAATAAAACATTCAACCTATATTGATTGGTTTCTGTTATTTCGAAAGCGCAATTCATTATGTACTATTCCGGTAAAATCCAACATAACATGCCAATCTATATGTTGTTACGAATCAATATACCTATTTTGCCGGGCAAAACAAATATCAATGATTTATTACACCCGATTGAGCAACCTACATTATCTGTGCCAGATAAAAATCTGACCCGTAGCATTTATATTTATCTCATTATTCTCGTTTTCTCTTCCACAGTCCGACTTCAGCGGCCGGGTCGTCAACAATGACCACTTCCTGTACTGGGGTGAAGCGCGCAAAACGTCCGACGAGGGCGTCGAGTATAACTTTAACGTAGTCGAGCAGACCGAGTTCGTCGACGATGCCACATTCCAACCGTTCAAGGTGGGCAAAATGGAACCGTACACCAAACGGTGTACGACCATCCGGTTAAGCTCGCAGGAGAAGCTCAAATACATTTGCAAAAATCAACTGGGCATAGAGCACGAGTATGAGGAAGTGGTCCTGCCCGAGGGACGATTCCTGGTCGATGGATTCGTGTGTGTTTTCGACGTCAGTGTCGTTCCGAACAGGACCGTCGAAAAGCAGGTTGAATTCATTACGGTGATTATCAATAACATTCTCAAAAACAAGAAACCAGTCGTGCTGGTAACGACCAAGAACGATGACTCCAACGAGCTGTACATCCGGGAAGCGGAAAAAATCTGCGCCCGGAAGGAGTACAAAGGCCAGATTTTGATGGTCGAATCGTCTGCCCACGAAAGTATAAACATCGATCTGGGATTCATAGTGCTAGCACAAATGATCGATAAAGTTAAGCAACGGTCAAAGATCATGTCCTACGTGGAAGCGGCCAAACATCGCACGGACCTGTTAAATGCCAGTTCCGAGTATGTGACCCGCCTCATCCGAACACAAATAACCGACCACCGGTCGATATGGACGAGTTCGTCCAAAAAATTAGGCACCCACAAGGAATGGAACGACTTTTTGGAACTATTTGGCCAGGAAGCCGGTCAGAGGATATTCCGGCGGCACATTAAAAAGCTTCGCGATGATTACCAGGCCAAGAAGCTGCAGAGCTACATGGATTCGTTCGCTTGCGTCCTGCAGGAAATCCTACCGGACATGAACAGCATAAACCTGGAGCTGGATACGTTCAACGATTGGCAATCGATACGGAACTATTTCCGCAATCATGTCGAATTCGAGCAGTACTTCTTCGATGCCATCGAGAGGGGTGGCAGCTGGGCGGAGCTTAGCGATATGAGCGACATGGAGGACGAAAATCGAATACCGTTCGATATCCTGGACACGCCCGAGGCGGAAACGATTTTCAAGAACCACATGAACGCCCTGCAGCAGGAACAGAAGCGATTGGAGTAAGTAGCAAGAGGGATGGGGGGTTTTGATGTTGTGTGTGGTGAATGGTTTTGTGGCGATATTTAGCTAGATTTTTGTTTGTGTGCGAAATCGTGTGAAGATTGTTGCAAATATAGGGATTTGACTAGCTGCCTTCTTGCTCAAGGAGCATGCAAAGTTGGAGTAGGAGGTCTTATAGCCCGATTTCCGGTACGCCTCGAGATGCGTATTTCGATCTATTCACCTATAATCCGCTTTCCGTTTCAGTCTATTCTAGTCTAGACGCTAGTGTATTACTGTACCACCATCTCAAACGTTCTTCCGAGAATTCCGTGCTCCGCTTGTTGAAACTCGCTCCATTTCATAATACCTTCTAGCGCAATGTTGATCAGAAAAGGCTATCGACCATTTCAATGTCTCTTGTCAAACGAGTTCTCGGTAAACGATATTCATGACACTTTTGGGGGATCTACCGCACGAAAAAATTGGACTGGAATTAATCACTCAAACAGTATTCTAGCGGTGATAGATGGGGAAGATGATTCGAAAAATCACTTTGTAGGACGCGTTCAGAATATTGATCGCTCGATAGTTCAGCAAATAAAGGGTGTCCCACATCAAGTTGCAACACGGAAAAAACGCTGTAGAAAATTACATATCCTTTTCAAACTTTCAGACAATAAAATATAACCCATTAGTAAGCTTTTGGCATATTTATTTCATTCGACTTCAATACCATAACCGTACGCTCGCACCTTACGCTTAACTCCACTCATTAGGTTCTGTACAACATCTGACTGCAGCTTCTTCTGTACGGAAACCCACGTTTTCTTCATGTCTTCCTCAGATTTGACCTCTTTGGGATGGTTCCGTAGTGCCTGCTTCATAATAGCCCAGTATTTTTCGATGGGCCTTAGTTCCAGTGCGTTGGGGGGGGGGTTCATGTCCTTGGGTACGAAAGTGACCCCGTTGGCTTCGTACCACTCCATGACAATTGAATAGTGGCACTGAGCTAGATCCGGCCAAAAGATCGTAGGGCCCTCGTGTTGCTTCAACAAAGGAAGCAGACGCTTCTAAAGACACTCCTTGAGGAAGATCTCGCCATTTACAGTCCCGGTAGTCACGAACGGCGCACTCCGTTTGCCACATGAGCAGATCGCTTGGCAAATTTTGAAAGTTTCTGCTTCCTTTCTTCCGGAACATCAAACGTGTGCTGGGCGGTGAAGAACAGTAACCTTGGAAGCTGATGGCATATACCTTACGCTGAAACTGGCAGCTCGTATTCGCAGAGTGGCAACCACGCAGTGTGACAACCATCGAGAATAAAATCGAAAGTGAAACGAGACCGTTTTGTAACAGGAACAGGAAACACATTTTTATTAGTTGATTGACTGCGTAACAGTAACGCTGGAACAAATCTAGGCAGAGAGATGGAAGTTATGATGGTCCTGCGCAGTCTCCCAAAGTCCTTCAGTACCCTGGCGACGGCTTTGGATTGCCAGAAGGAGGAGGAAATCACACTGGAATTGGTGAAGCAAAAAGTGATCGATGAAGTGTTGAAGCGTAGAGCGTTGAAAGTGTATGAGAAAACGCAGAAGAAGAAAAGTGTGGTGTGTCACAACTGCCAGAGAGTTGGACACAAGAAGAAAGATTGTCGAGTGAAACCGAAACCAGACGAAGATGTTCGGGACGATTCGAGGTCATCCAGGAATGCACAGGCCAAAGTGGCTACTCACGCGGAAGAAGAAGAAGCTTTCGCGTTCGCGATCGGTAACTCGACTAGTGAATGGACAATCGATTCTGGTTCGTCGTGGCACATTTGTGCAAATCGTGACTTTTTCGAAACCGTAAAGAAAAGAAGATTGGAAACACCCAGTGTTGTGGTGGTGGCTGACGGCTGCTAGTGTCCGGTGGAAGGCGAAGGAACGTGCCGGATCTTTTGCCTCGTTGAGGGCCAAGGTACAAAGCAAGTGTTGCTGACTCAGGTGCTTTACGTTCCAGAGATGAAGGCCAATTTGATATCCGTTGCTTGATCAGGAAGGGAGCTGAGGTGAGTTTTTCTGCTTCTGGTTGTACTATATCTCACGAAGGGCGAACAGCAGGCGAGGCTGTGCTTGTCGGTGGCTTGTATTTACTGAGACTGGTGAGAAAATCAACAGTGGCGGTAGCGAAGAACCACAACCCGTTGTACATCCATGAATGGCACCGAAGACTGGGACACCGTGACCCAGAGGCCATACTGGAAATGGGCAGATGCATGCTGCTCGATGCCAACATGGGCTACAAATATTGGGCGGAAGCTTTTAATATTGCCAACTATTTGCAGAACATGCTTCCGACAAGGGTCAGAGATAAAACTCCTTTCGAGACCGTTTTCAAGAAGAAGCCAGATTTGGAGGATCTTCACGTGTTCGGTTCGCAGGTGTGTTTTCTAGTTCCTTCGGAAAAACGTACCAAGCTGAAACCAAAGGCCGTACGGATGACATTCATCGGGTACTCTTCGCAGCATACAGGGATACCGAATGATTGATTTGAAAACGGACAAGGTCGTCATAAGCAGGGATGTAAGATTTCTGAAGCAGAAGCAGTTGGAGATTTTCCGTCCGACAAAGCAGGCTTCGGAGGAATCAGGTAGTGTCGTTGAGTTCCCACTGACGGTGCAGAATGAAGTTGGCCGTCAGTGGATCTGAAAAGGAGCAGTGGATTCAAGCAATATTGGATGAACTGGAATCGCTTCGGAAAAATCAAACCTGGAAGGAAACCGATGCACCACCTGGAAGGAAAATCGTAGGATGCCGCTGGGTGTTCAAACGCAAGTATGACGAGGACGGGAACGTGATTCGTTATAAAGCACGTCTCGTTGCCCAGGGATTCACCCAAGTCTATGGTACGGATTTCAATGAAATATTTGCTCCCGTTGCGAAGCAGGTAACCTTTCGAACACAACTTACTATCGCAGCTAGGAGAGGTATGATAGTGAAACATATAGATGTGAAGGCCGTGTATCTCAACGGTGATCTAGACGAGCAGATCTATATGCGAGTGCCTCCTGGAGTGAAATCTACGAGAAGTAATACAGTTTGCTTGTTGAAGAAGAGCATTTACGGCCTTCGACAATCGACAATTAATGGGATTCAAGCCGTCTGATGCAGACCCCTGTCTGTATGTGCGTCATCGAGATCAGAAATCGACATTCATATTGCTGTATTGGTTACATGCAGCAAAAGGAGGAGAGCGATAGACTACCAACCAATGACAAATTTCAAAGTCTCATTGGGGGTTTGCTTTACTTAGCCGTGCATACACGACCAGACATTGCTATTAGCACGTCTATTCTGGGAAGGAAGGTGAGCCAACCCACCGCTGGCGATTGGGTAGAGGCATAACGTGTGCTTCGTTACTTGGTAGGTAATTGTGATTTGAAACTGTACGTTGGCGGAGAAGGAGATCTTGAAGGCTATGCGGAGTCCAACTCTGGCTATGCGGAGTCCAACTCTGGTATGTTTCGACTTGGTAACGGAACAATATCTTGGACTGCAAGAAAAACAAGTTTGTGTGACGCTTTCGTCTATAGAAGCGGAATACATATCGCTATCCGAGAGTTGTCAAGAGTTGCAGTGGATATTAAAACTCATGAAGGACTTTGGTGAGGAAGTTAAGCAGCCTATAAGAATTCACGATGACAATCAGAGCTGCATTAAACTACTGAAGCAAGACGGAGGAACTAAACGGTCCAAGCACGTGGACACCAGATACCACTTCGTTCGTGACAGGGCTGAGCAGAAGAAGATTGACGTCGTCTACTATCCATCAGAAGACATGTTAGCGGACGCGCTGACTAATCCGTTGGCACGGGTCAAGCTGGAGATATTTTGTGAACGGATTGGTCTGCGAATGGGTCGTTGAGAAAAGTGATGGCGTATACCTTACGCTGAAACTGGCAACACGTATAAATAGGATAAAATCGAATGTGAAACGAGAGCGTTTTATAACAGGAACAGGAAATACATTTTTATTAGTTGATTGACTGCGTAACAGTACACATCGTGTGGTTTTATTTCAATAGAAGCTGCCAGAAGTCCGCCTTGACGTAAGTCTCATCATCCATGAGGCTTCGTCAGCATCTTCGTGTACAGTCTCCGGGCCCGTGACTTTCCCACCGTATTTTGCCGTTCGTCACGATATGGAGCCGTAGGACCTGTTGTAATCTCAACGTCCATGGTTCGATTTCAGCCTGCTCCGTTTAGTTATATTTTTGTCGAAATTATTTTTCATTAGGCAAATCTATGAAATTCATATTGATTTCTTGTGGCTGAAATTCATAAGTGATTCTTGTAGAATGACACCTTCTTTCAACTTCACTGGTTCTGTATCTCAGATTCTGACTGTCGGACGATAAGCAGCCAACTTATCTGAGCTCATTTTTTAAAGTTTCACTCCGATATCATCCTTCCCAGCTGCCTTGTACTTCTCTGGCTGTCGAAATCGTGATTGACCCCGGAACCGCATTGTTCAAGAAAGGAACCAGCGTAAGCCCAGGGTGGGCACTCAGGCTATTTTGGTCCCAGGGTGTTTAGTAGGAGGAAGTTTTCGGTGTAAGAAGTTAATGAAACCAATTCGTAAAACTCACCTTGATGGATTTTAGTACAGCATCATAAAGAGACTAAAGAGAGTGGTATCTAAAAAAAAACGTGACGTGTTAGGGCTAACATAGATTGGGGACATTAATTCAGAAGACCATAAGACAGTCAAATATGGTTAAGGTTAATCGCTGTGGCAACCTTATGTCTGATTTATCTTTCCGTACCCTGAAGATTTCAAGAGCACAAATCTAGATAGAGCTGGAATTAGGGCCTAACAGCTTTTGTAAACAATGACTTCTCGTGATGATTTCTAGAAATTCAAGGCTCACCCACGCAAACCAACATCCTCATCGGGTAGGGAAAGACTTCCCCTATCCGATGGTTAGGTTGGTCTTCGTGGACGTGCCTTGAATTTCTAGAAATCATCGATAGAAGTC